AAGCGCTTTGTTTTCTTCAGATAACGGCCAAACATCAAGATTGTCCATTTTTTACTGTTTCTAACCATAAAAACGTCATCCCAAAATATCTCGATAACGCTCTTACAGATTTCGCCTAAACTTCACGAACATTGAGGCCGCTATTGGAGGAAAAAGCTGCCATAAACGACTTTGGAAGAACTGTTTTCTAGGACCGAGATATACTGCTACAAGTAAAATCGGTAATAGCATCATTTCGTTGCTATGACAACTCCGATGTCATTGTAACCCTGATCATAACAAAATTTTCATCTTTATCTAATACAAATGTGGTGGCAGTTTTTCCAAATCTTTGCTTATAGCGACGTAGTTTATGCTCAAACTTGGGAGGTATTGACCCTGAAAAACTGTATCGAGCCACCTTAATTGCATTAGGTGTTTTATTATCATTATTTTTAAACAAATACTTAATATTCCGTCTACTTTTAGTATTTGTAACGATAGTTTTAAACATTGTGATATAGTTAACATTAGGTCATAGAATTGTTCACTTGCCTAATTTGGAAACCAGTTTTGTATATTGAAATTAGTACCGTGTTAACTAAAATTCATTCATTCATTCACTGATTCATTCATTCACAGAAGGAAAATAAGCATTTCAATACACCGATTCAGCCTAAGACCGGAAGTTGCATGAAAGCGAGGCTAAGGGCTATCTTTCGCGCGAATCTCATAAACATGGCGTCTTCAAGTAAACAAAAGAATTCGAGTTACAATTGTTGCGCGGCTGCTCTTTGCAATAATCGTTCAGATAACCGACCAGATTTTATTTGTCATAATTTCCCTCTGGACGAAAATCTTAAGAAAAACAGGGATCAAAAAATGAAGCGTGGCGACAAAAAATTTGCCTCGAACAGCTCACTCTTCTGCTGTTCTGAACATTTTAGTGAGAAGGACTCCAGGAAAAGCCTTACCGTGGTCAGTTGGCAATGACGAAGCCTCTGAAAGGTCCGGAAGAGCCAAAAGTCGGGAATGCTAAAGGATTAAACTTTCTGCGATCCCATCCAAGAGTATGGAAAATAAACATCACTCATACGATGCACCTGACATCTATGCAAGGAGACTCAAGACAAAGATTCAGGTGAAAAACCATTCGAAGAAGAGAGAGATTTGGTTGCCGAGAATTATGATCTTAAACAAAAGCTGTTTCGTTCAAAATTTGGTTTGGAGAGGTTTGGATCGAATGATGATGACATATTTTTCTACACAGGATTTCAGAGTTACCGAGCTTTGATGGCATTTTNTACTAAGGATAGAAACACAATAACCCTGAGGAAGGATTCTGACATCGACGGGTTGGGATTTGAAAAGAGCGATATGGATCTCTAAACGGCCTGGAGTGAAAAAAACATCAAGAGTTTATGTTGAGTTGTACAGTTTTAACAATAAGCACCTCTCCCTTTTAAACGCCTCATATCTTTTAAACGCTCCCGCTTGGACCCATGAAGTCAAAAGACGCTTTAGGTCAGTGCTGGTGTTTATTAGGTCACCTACGGTTAATTGCATTTAGTATATACTAAAACAGTGGATAGTGTTTTTCGCGCGCTCTGATTGGCTACTCAATCAGTGAATATCCTACACTCTTCACTGATTCACCTCCAGTTCCTCCGAGCGAGCGAGGCCAAACTCACGTAAGTTGCGAGCAAAATGCCCTCCTAGTTTGCTGCCGTAACAAACTAAGAAATTTCACAACTAATCAAGTAAGCTATTCCAAAAATACGTGAAGAAGGTGACGAAGTTCGGTTTCGAAGTTTTAACAGGTAAAACTTTGTCTTTTTGACTTGAATTTATCGATAAAACTGGTGAAAAAGGTTTTAGTTTACAAATGCAAATTAAGCTTAAGTCTTGCGTTACTTTATTTAGTTGACTTGTTCATAAATAAGCTTAAAACTAAACTTAATAATCTTTTTTCCAGAATGATTTTAAATACAAAAAGAATTCACAACTCCTTTTAAAGAAACTTCCCCGCAAGAGCTAAACAAACGCCATCAAAAGTTTTATTTGTCGCCAGGAAGAAAAAGCGACGACGGCGGCCGTTCAGTCATCGCGCGCCAAAATTATGATCGTTGGCAACAGTAAATGAGTTAAAAATCATCATTTTTGTGCTCAATTGTCTCACTGTTTTAGTATATACTAAAATTATTCACCTCAGTGTCGGTGGCTAGTAGTGGAAATTTACCTCGCCGCTTCGCGGCCTCGGTAAATATATCCAGTACTAGCTACCTCCACTTCGGTGAATAATTGTTATATATATCTGCTTCAGGGCACTTCCCGAGTCGGTTGGGCTAGGCCACGTGCCGAGCCCCTCCCTCGTTTCTCACCAACCCCTGTTCAACACTAGCGATCTTCTTATTCAATGAAACTAAATTAAAACAAGGTAAAAATTAAACAAATTGTCATTTACCAGCGCGAGATAATAGAAGTTATTTTTTTATTTGTCCAACGCTGGATCTTCATTGATGCGGTTATACCATGCACCTCCAGGGAATTCAGACGCCTCGTTGGCAATTTAAAAGGAGGGATATAAATTCGCACTGACAAGGATATTCCCCACTAACACCGAATTGAAAAATTGCCGTCAACAAGAGTCAAAAACTACACAACATTTTTTCCATACACCTTCAGAGCTAAAGGTGATAGTATGCCACTTGTACCCTGTGGAAGATTGCGTGAAGGGACTCCAGGGTAATTCATTCAAATTGCCATACAAGTAACATGACACCAAGTTACACGTCTCTTTTAGGAAACAACTTTTACAAGCCCCAACCTCTTTACAAATCAGCGGAATGTTGAAATTTCAGTTGTTTGCAAGTTTTTAAGTCATGTTATGAAGGTGAGCTGCAGAGCCTTGCGTCACGAGAAAAAACAATGGACACTGAAAGGTAACTTTGTAACAATACAGGACATCCGTTTCAAACTCATTTTGTAGGAGTGTCATGTGTAACCATGATTCCGACTGATTTCCGATCTGGCATAGTTTGTCGATAGTTTATAGGGGGAATTTCGAAAACAATTAGCAGTTCGCTAATATTATGTCCGGAAGTTTGTGTTTACAAGTGAGAGCCTCTCATTCTTCAGGGTATTGTCTCCAAGTCTCATATTCCCGTGCACAACAATAGCTACCGTTGTTAGTTATTGCTGTTCACGGGAAAATGAAACTTGGAAACAATACCTTGAATAATCAGAGGCTTTCACTTGTAACGACGCAACGTCCGATATAAAATACCAAATTGTAGCCCTTATTTTACTGCCTTACAGTATATGAATAATCTTGAAACTAAAAGGTCATATAAAAGGAAGGTTAATCTCAAGAATCTAAATTTTTTTGAAAAATCTATCGACAGGTTTGAAAATTATTCGCCAATTTGTTAAAGAAGACCAAAATGTTTACAAAACCGCTAAGAAGAGAGCTTCGATACATACTAATCAAACCCTTTTTTCTAGCAATCTCCATGACTTTTCACGCACGTTTTTAAAAACGATTGAAACTACTATGAGGCGAAATTGCATGTCAAAAGCGCTTTGTTTTCTTCAGATAACGGCCAAACATCAAGATTGTCCATTTTTTACTGTTTCTAACCATAAAAACGTCATCCCAAAATATCTCGATAACGCTCTTACAGATTTCGCCTAAACTTCACGAACATTGAGGCCGCTATTGGAGGAAAAAGCTGCCATAAACGACTTTGGAAGAACTGTTTTCTAGGACCGAGATATACTGCTACAAGTAAAATCGGTAATAGCATCATTTCGTTGCTATGACAACTCCGATGTCATTGTAACCCTGATCATAACAAAATTTTCATCTTTATCTAATACAAATGTGGTGGCAGTTTTTCCAAATCTTTGCTTATAGCGACGTAGTTTATGCTCAAACTTGGGAGGTATTGACCCTGAAAAACTGTATCGAGCCACCTTAATTGCATTAGGTGTTTTATTATCATTATTTTTAAACAAATACTTAATATTCCGTCTACTTTTAGTATTTGTAACGATAGTTTTAAACATTGTGATATAGTTAACATTAGGTCATAGAATTGTTCACTTGCCTAATTTGGAAACCAGTTTTGTATATTGAAATTAGTACCGTGTTAACTAAAATTCATTCATTCATTCACTGATTCATTCATTCACAGAAGGAAAATAAGCATTTCAATACACCGATTCAGCCTAAGACCGGAAGTTGCATGAAAGCGAGGCTAAGGGCTATCTTTCGCGCGAATCTCATAAACATGGCGTCTTCAAGTAAACAAAAGAATTCGAGTTACAATTGTTGCGCGGCTGCTCTTTGCAATAATCGTTCAGATAACCGACCAGATTTTATTTGTCATAATTTCCCTCTGGACGAAAATCTTAAGAAAAACAGGGATCAAAAAATGAAGCGTGGCGACAAAAAATTTGCCTCGAACAGCTCACTCTTCTGCTGTTCTGAACATTTTAGTGAGAAGGACTCCAGGAAAAGCCTTACCGTGGTCAGTTGGCAATGACGAAGCCTCTGAAAGGTCCGGAAGAGCCAAAAGTCGGGAATGCTAAAGGATTAAACTTTCTGCGATCCCATCCAAGAGTATGGAAAATAAACATCACTCATACGATGCACCTGACATCTATGCAAGGAGACTCAAGACAAAGATTCAGGTGAAAAACCATTCGAAGAAGAGAGAGATTTGGTTGCCGAGAATTATGATCTTAAACAAAAGCTGTTTCGTTCAAAATTTGGTTTGGAGAGGTTTGGATCGAATGATGATGACATATTTTTCTACACAGGATTTCAGAGTTACCGAGCTTTGATGGCATTTTCGAACTTTATTAAACCTTGCTCTGGGTCTCTGATGTCGTGGAACACAGCACGCGAAAAAGTGAAAGAAAGCTCCGCAAACAATGCTAATCCATTTCCCTTTTTGCAAGGAAAGGAGAAACAAAGAAATAGAAAGAGAGAAATAGAGCCCAACGATCAGCTGTGGTTGTTTCTTACAAGGGTGCGTCTTGGCTTATTCGAGCGTGACTTGGCACATAGATTTAGTGTTTCTGTAAGTACCGTGACTGATGTCTTTATTACTTGGGCAAACTACCTTTACGTAATGTTGGGAAGTTTGCCTTTATGGCCTTCAAGAGACAAAATAAAACAACACTTGCCAGATTCTTTTAAAGGAAGGTATGAAAACGTACGTGGAATTCTTGATTGCACAGAGTTGAAACGTGAGTTGCCCAAGGATTATCAGAAGCACTCAGAAATGTACTCAGACTATAAATCTCACGACACATTTAAAGGGCTCATCTGCATTTCACCGAGTGGATGGATAACATTTGTTAGTCAGTTGTATCCAGGAAGAATAAGTGATAAGGAAATTGTGGAGAAGAGTGACTTCTGTCAGTTAATTGAAGTGAGATTCATGACCTAATGGCCCTCAGAGGAGCAAGTTTATATATTCGTCCAAAGAGATTTTCTGCCAATAACCAGTTCACACAAAGCCAGTGTTTCGAGACCATGAGTATAGCAAATGTGCGTATTCATGTTGAAAGAGCAATTAAGTGAATCAAGGCTTGGCATATTTTTAGTCAATGCAAGTTCTGCCTCTTTCCAGCTTTGGGTCCATAAATCAGATCTGGACTGTATCTGCTTTGTTAATAAATTTTCAATATCCAATTATTTCAGTTTAAAGAAAGAAAGGTTTCAGTTTTTTGGAAGGGATGGGTTCTTATATCAGGGAACTAACAAGTGTGTTTTTGAGGAATTGAATGTTAAACTAAAGATTCTGAAGCTGTTCAGGTCTCAAATGCGCATGGGTAGATTGTGTACTCAGATTTAAAACTGATGGAGACTGACTGTGATTGAAGAAAATATATTTGTTATAGTAATGATGATGGTGATATAATATAGAAAATAAAACCAAAATTTGTCTTTTTTTCAAAACTAAAAGCCTATCTGTAAGACAAATCCTAAAAAATAACAGTCAAAGTTTTCAAAAACAATACACAAAAATATCTAGTTTCACCTTCCCTACCACCACCATCCCATCACTTGTAAAGTATAACTTGAATACCATTCCTTGTGCTTTAGAACATACTAAAGCTCTTATGCAGACATTTTGTTAGAGTGAACTTATATCAGTTTCCAAGAAACTAAGAGTGTTGCTTTGCGTTCTAAAAACACAACNAAAATATCTAGTTTCACCTTCCCTACCACCACCATCCCATCACTTGTAAAGTATAACTTGAATACCATTCCTTGTGCTTTAGAACATACTAAAGCTCTTATGCAGACATTTTGTTAGAGTGAACTTATATCAGTTTCCAAGAAACTAAGAGTGTTGCTTTGCGTTCTAAAAACACAACTGTTTTTATTTTGAGATATATTTCTTGTGAAAAGCAATTAATTAATTGCTGCAAGAACATCATTTTCTTTGTCTAAAATTAATCCAATCTTTTGAACTGTCACTTCCTTGATGTCTGGCAATGACAAGAGATATTCTTTGTACAAATCAGCTGCCACAGGTTCATTTTCAATACCAAAGATCAATCCTTTACTCTTATAATAATTATATTATATTATAATTTTATAATAAGCTTGTGAATAGATGACCATTTTTAGGGGTGCTCCTTTTTCTGTAATTTTTTTTACTAGATTTTCTGGTTTTTTAAACCCCTGTTTTTGCATATGAGAAAAGACATCTTTACAGATACTGGCAGTTATTCTGTTTTGGCTTTGTTCAAACCTAGCAGGATTCGTTGATTGTCCTCTTGTTGTCATTTCAATTTGCTTTTGCTTTTCTGTGAGAGTTTCAATAAATAATGTTTCTGTTTGGACTGTTGGCAGTTGTACTTCAGATGGATCAATTGTACTTTCAATAAAACTTGAAATAGATCTGTTCTTGCCGTTGGTTATTAACATTTCAATCTGATATCTGCTGAAGCTGTAGCTCATCATAATCATTAGAAGGAGTGCTAAGGGGTGCCATTTCTGATTCACATTGCACAGTGGAAGGTGGAACAGAGATTTCATGATTCAAACTTGAATTTGAATTCAGTGCTTGCCCATTTGAGACAGGATTCACATTTTCTTTACCGGCAAGGGAGGAACTACTAAGGTAGGGTACTACCAAATTTGGAGGCTGCTGGGAATAATCTTGAAGTTGCTTATGAATTGTTGAACCTTTAGCAACAGTGCCAACTACAGTCATTACTGTTTGAATTGTCTTTTCCTCTGGTAACATAGCAACAAAGGGTATGCGAACATTTATTTTCTGAAGATCTTGCCTCAGCTTTACAATTCCATCAGCATCAAGCTTCTGTGATTTCAATGGTCTGGGGTCGTAAAACTGAGAGCCAATACTCCTTTTCTTACTACCAGGTAAGTCAGACGCATGTCTTGGTTTTGTTATTTTTAAAGCCATCACTGGAGAGAACTCTACTTCTCGTCTACCCCCTTTTGCCCATTCCCTCGGTTTTGATGTGCAGCATCTGTTGTCAGGAGTGATATTTTTTAGCTCTGACTTTCTCGTCATGTCCTCAAGTTTCCATATGAGCGCCATAACATGACAACAACACCCACTGTTGGAAGCCGGACACTGCCTATCACACTTTGCTGCTAGAATCTTTGGGGTCCCGCTTTGTTTACAAACCATTTTCACCTTGTATTTAACATTCCTCTTATAGGAAGCCCAACAGCAAGCACGGACGTATATGATGTTATTTTCCATGTTATTATACACCTGTAAATCATGCACAAAATTGACCATACAGAGGCCTTTGTCATTTGAGTTTATAACAACTGCTGCATTGGTAAATTTCTTCATGGATTAACCGGAATCTTTTACCTGCCCAAAAGCATCCATAGGCACAAATGGGGGCAAAACAGAAAAGTTCTCTGAAAATTGAGTGTTTTCATCCGGTGGGAAAGTGTCTAAAATCGAACTACACGAGCTTGCTTGTTGGTCGATCAGCTCAGTCTGGACTGTTTCGATATAGAGAGTCTTAAGCTTTTCAACCTTTGCTTTCGTGTAGCTCCTCTAAGAATCAGGGTCGTAAACTTTCTCTCTGTAGTAAGGAATCGCGTTTAATGCCTTAACCCTGCCCCAGAAAAGAAAGAAATCTCAAATTAAAAGCAGAAAAGAAAAGATTTTAGCCAAAACGAAATTCTTTTGACTAGCGTAGAAGGTTAGATAACAGTGTTTATGCAATACAGGTGCTGCGAAACTTACTTTTCGACAAGATCTTTCTTCAGTCCCTGTTGGTTCAGTCTTCTGCATTTCAACCAAAATTTCAACTGTGGAATTGTCCATTTACTTATGTCCTCTCCATTTTTCACGGATGAACATGGAATGTCTTCTGGTGTAAGGTTTACATCCGAAGACATTTCATGTCTTCCATGCAAAGTGTCGGTGTTTTCCGCCATGATGTTTGAGATTCGCGCGAAAGATAGCCCTTATGCCTCGCTTTCATGCAACTTCCGGTCTTAGGCTGAATCAGTGTATCAGCTTTTGTGTGACTTTATTCGTGTAATTGTTTTCAAGTTCAATTTCGTACTCTAGAATTGAGCTGGCTGACTTTGAAGTAGACTTCGAGTTGACTGAAGAAAATTAAACGTGGTTTTGTAAAATAGTGACAAGACTGATTCACGCTTCCCACAAAAGTGTCCCTTTCTCAAAGTTTTGCATTATAACGAGTATATCAGGCTTTGTAGCTCTGTCTTAACTGCATGCAAGTGTTTCATTAGAATCTTTCAAGGCTAGGAACTGCGGCTGGTGACTGATATTGCATGACAATGAGTAAAATGGTTATCTCTCTTCAATATTTTTGTTGGACAGGGTTTTGGAAGAATTAGATTAAAAGGGTCAGCTGGGGGACATGCACCGGTGCCGGATTCAGGAACCTGCAGTGGGGTACAGGGGCATGCTCTCCCTGGAAATGTTTAAAGTTGGACTCTCTGAAATGCAGTGCAATTTACTGCATTCTCTGGACCGGAAATGGTTAACCTGGAAGTTTTTTTTAAGCATTATAAAATGCTCACAAAAAGTCAAATATTTGATTTGGCATTTAGGATTTATGCATAACTAGTAAGCGTCAGATCAATCCTTGATTAATAAATGAAGAAATAAAAAATAAAGAGTGATGTTCACCTTTAAAAAAGTAATTATTTCGTGTGTGAACTACCGAAGTTTCATGTCAAACAACCGTGCTTTGCGCCCTGCGTCCAGCCTTGAAGTTGGAGCAATGCCTTCTTCCAGTTTGCAAAGTGCGTCTCAAAGGCAAATTAATTTCCGTAGGTTTTTGGATAGTCTGCCTACGACTCTAAGGTGCCTCTGAAATTCTTCCAATCTTTTCAACAAATTTTCTTTCGAGGAACATGCTCTGATACTGAAATGTTTCAGTTGGTTTTCTTAAAATGAGTAAGTTCGTAGCTGGTCACGTGACCAAAATGTGATTTTTTAAAATTATTAATTACCTCTTTTTGAACACAAATTTTGCACTTAAACTTCAAGGAAAATGTTGAAAAGATGATGTGGTAACGTTTACAGCACATCTCAGCGTAACTAACAAACGTTTAACAAGATATATGCAAAAAGTAGTTTTGACCGCCATGTTGGAGGGCAAGAGTATGCCCTCCAACTTTGCGGCCAATACAAATCATACTACTTTGTTTAAAAATCAAAGTGTCATAAAATATCTCCCTTAAATGCGTTTCCTCTCAAATTTCGGGTGTAAGATAATTTTAATATGCTCTGTCAATTTTTGGCATCAAAAAGGTTCCAACCTATTGTTTAAAGGTAGCCTNTGATGGCGAGTCCAACGCGCCGACCACTCGGCCACGCTGCCTCGTTAAACTGTCTCGAAGGTGTGTCCCTACCGTGCAGATTTGACGTGCTTTTCAACCTTTCCTATTTGTTAACAATTTTATCTAGAAATTAGGTTTTATTTAACAGATTTGTTTATTTTCTCTGTAGCGTTAAGAGTAGTGTAGTTAAGTGTCTGTTCATTGTACTGTGTTGCTTCTTTCGATATCCATGTTGTACCACGGTGGGTGTATGAGTTGGGTGAACGCCTTTGAGTTTAACAGGTATTGCATTCTTAGAACATAGACAGAAGTAGGGAAACATCTCTATTTTTAAACTAATGTCTTAGTCAGTTACAAAAGTATAAAAGTAAAAATGGTACCTCGACGAAGCGAATTTGAAATCTAAAATATCCCTTTGTAATATGACTCTTTATGTTTTGCTTTTCTTCTTTGCTCTAGATCCACCAAGCATCACTTACATATCTGCAAACATGACAGTGAATCAGAGTGAGTCAGTGGATCTTACTTGTAGAGCTAATGGTAACCCTAAACCAACAATTACCTGGACAAAAGATAGCAATATCATAAATAGCTCTTTCACCGTGCGTGGAAAAAGCGATGAAGGACTGTATGTTTGCACCGCTGATAACGGAATTGCAAATGCATCCAGCAAGTCGATGTTCATGACTGTTGATTGTAAGTCTAAACTGACTATACTGGCTATTAATAGAGTCTGAATAGCTGTTATTCATTAAGTCAAACAAATAGAAACCAAAGTACAAATTCCAATTTGCCATTTTTGGAGTTCCAAAAGCTCTCATTTTCAAAGTATTTCTTTTGAAAATGAGTTTGATTGGAACGAGAAAAACAAAATAATTTTTATATTTAAGGCTTGGACCCTTGCCTTGTTTAAAAACAGAGGCTTGGGGCAACTCGGAAATCGCCTACCAACTAAAAAAGTCAAAAACAGCGGCTGAAATTCGATGTTTCAAAGAAGACAATAACTGACTTCATCATTTTTGTTATCTCGTTTATGCAAAGGGGGCTTGCGCTTTCCTACCTTTTTTACAACTCTCACATATTCGTACATTATATGTACTTAATGACTGCTGAACTCATCAATAAAATCTCCACAAAAACCTTCGCGTGTTTGAATGAACCTTCACTATTGTAAAGTTTAAATTTGTATGCACGATTTCTATGCACGTTACTGTCTTGAAGTAAACATAAAATTGCCTTCATCATTTGCAATATTAGGCTCCCCCGTTTGCATTGTCTCTCTTCACCCACCGAAAGTGTTCAGTTATCTTGCACACTCGTTGGGAAAAATGCTTGCAGCTGCCAATTTAGTAGCCTGCGAATACAGCAGTCTCTCCGCGCTCTTCACCGCTAGGGACGTTTTGCAAAAGAGACGTCTGCGTCTCAGCGACAGAAATTC